TAAATGGTGCTCGGCCATTGTTGCAAGATAGTGTTCGTTTCAAATTATCTGTTATGAATTTCTTTTTATGCCATAAATTCATTATTTTATTTAGTTTTGTTTGTATTTTGGTAGTAAGATCTTTTTTTTTTCGGTTTATATGTTTTTATATCACTTGTTAAGCCTAGCATTTTCGTTTTGTATTCGCTTTTTAACATAATTACAGTTTTGTTGCATTTATCTGCTGTTAGTATGCAAATGTTTGGGTTTTCATGCATAATTTATCAGTCCATTAATATGGCATGCCATACTTTTATTTGTGTTTTGTTTTATTTTACCTTTGAAATTTGTTAAGATGTTACACAATTTATTTCCGATCTCGTTCTTTGCCTCATTATTTAATGAGAAGATTCCATGTTCAATTGTTCAATGATTTCTGAAATTGGACCATAGTGAGACTTATTTATGGAGAACCTTGGTCCAAGTGATAAGATGTATTTTACGCTGTTCGGTATGTTTAGTGAAGTCAAATTATTTATCCAATTTTCGTTAATGTTACATTTGTTTGTTCTGCCATGTTTCTTTGCTAAAAGTTTTCTAGTTTATTTTTTGTGTTGCTTTAATCTTGTCGAACACAGTTTCATATTTTTGTTCCTGGTGTTCATGAAACACTTTTATTTTATTCCTAAAGACACCTTTATATTGTGTGACTGATTTTTGCTTGGTGTAGTGTCCTTTTTCTGAGTTTGGCTACGCTTCAACTTCATTAAATTAAACTTTTCCGTTTGGGCTTCACATGCGGTAGTTGCCGGGGGGTCGATTGGATTTGTATGGTAGTTACATTTTTTTAACTTCGGGGTCATCAGTTTGCAAGTTCATGTTTGTTTTTATTGTTTATTAAAGGGACCGCAAGTTGCAAGTTCAACGAGCAAAATTTCAATATCTCGGACACTAAAACAATTGTTGTGATTGTAGCGATGGGTGGTTGACTTACTCTGATGACCGCTGTGTTTGCCCATGACGATTGTACGAGATATAGTTTGTACTGTCTTATTATATTTTTTAATTTTTTACCATTGCTGACTGTACTGTACGTAGTTTATATCTAGGAATGTTTTCCGGGCTTTGAAGCCGTGGTCTATCGGAATTTCTACCTGACGTTTCGTCCACAACTGCGGTGGACATTTTCAAATTCGATGAGGCAGTGGGCGAAGTGATCTCCCGTGCAATTTTGTCCAATTTCAGACAATTGACGCTTGGACTACAGGCGATAAAGCTAAGTGGAAGGTAGTTTCGATACGCTGCAGCCTCACGTAGTGGACTTTTACACATGGCTGCCAGACAGAGGTCAATGTTTTCTTCCATTTCATCGCATCAGTTTAGTAAGCGGGTTAAAGTATTTGACAAATTTGTGTGTGGTCTTCACCAGTCTTAGTCGGAAAGCACGGGAGATCACTTCGCCTTTGATAATGTCCACCGCAGTTGCGGACGAAACGTCAGGAAGAAATTCCGATAGACCACGGCTTCAAAGCCCGGAAAACATTCCTAAATGTAATCTGACCGGCCGTGAAAGCCTTCATAGTACGTAGTTTATGTTGTAGTATTTTGTTTCATTTTTTTTACTCGCTTTGTCCATAAAATTTGTGAATTTTTCCGTGGCAATAAAGCATATTTTGATTTGATTTGACACTTGCCTGGAAGGCCGGCGTGAGTTCTGAAGCAGTTCCACTCCACACGTGGCCCATTAGTTCGCCCTGGCCCTCAAAGAACACAAACGGCCTAATTTGGGTGCCCAAAACCGTGAGCTCCATGCCAGCGGTTGCGGTTTCTTCGTCTGCTTGCTCCTCATCCTCCGTACTTGACACGAACGTGGACAAACCGCCAGCAAATATCCCCAGCTGAAACATCAAACGTTTGCTGTTGAGGTCGCACCTAAACAGTGAAGCTCACCGTGAACAGCTCCTTGGAAAGGCCGTTTTTATCTAGGATTACATCCACAGCTCCTCTCTTCACAATGCCGCCCTTGATCTCCTGCACCGACACCAGACTGCCATTCACTGAAGATCCACTGAAAATGTTTCTTCGCAGCGCAGTGGAAAGGCCCTTCTGCGCCAAGCTGGCGTAGTTGTTCTTCACAATGTCCTTTACCCGCTGCTGCCACTTTGGGCAGCTATCGGCCAGCATCAGGACACTCTGCAAAACGTACTGTTTGACCTCAAAATTTTTGTCTTGGCCTGCAACAAATTTCAGCAATTCTTCCAGAACGTGATCAGTTGGATCGGATGCAAGCAGCAAATCGGCAGCCAGCGTTCTCGAACTGGTATCATGCGCTTTATCCAGTTGAAACAGAGTTTTCTCTGCCTGCTTCAGCAGGTTCTCTGTCCAGTAGCGCCTTCCAAAGCTCTTCAGCGCCCTCCAGGCCAGCGCTTCTTCTTTCAGGGTGCCATTTTCCAGCACGGATATCAGTTTAGGGATGGTGGTGGGCGACTGAAGGTTCTTCAGCGCGTTGAGAAATACATAGCGATCCGCGTCCTCAGCATAGTCAAATCCGTTGTCTATCGTCTCTTCGACCGCTTGCAGCATCTGAAATGTTCGGAAATTCCTTAAAGGTCCAGGTTTAGGAGGTTTAGGATGATTGTATATGTATTAGAACAGAACTTTATTTTTTCTTTCCTGGGTTTCAGTCACACACATGAAATGTTTATATCGTTTATTTCATATAACGTTTCGGCGAGAGAACAGCGCCATCATCAGATTAAAATTCAAAACAAACCCATAATTGGGCACATTTGATTCTTTATATGTTTGGCWGCCAAACATATAAAGAATCAAATGTGCCCAATTATGGGTTTGTTTTGAATTTTAATCTGATGATGGCGCTGTTCTCTCGCCGAAACGTTATATGAAATAAACGATATAAACATTTTCATTTCACATTTTGACTGAAACTCTGGAAAGAAAACTATTACTAGAACAGAACATTTTCACCTTTAAAGTAAACTGAGTTTGGCTGCCAAACATGTAAAGAATCAAATGTGCCCAATTATGGGTTTGTTTTGAATTTTAATCTGATGATGGCGCTGTTCTCTCGCCGAAACGTTATATGAAATAAACATTTTCATTTCACATTTTGATTGAAACTCTGGAAAGAAAAACTATTACTAGAACAGAACATTTTTACCTTTAAAGTAAACTGAGCGACGTCCCCTTCCTCCCGTAGGCCTTTGGCCATCGAGGCCAGTGTCAAAATTAAAGTATCGCGCACTTTCCGTGGAATACTGGTATATGTTTTGTACTTCTTCAACATGTCTTCCAAGATGTCGATGTTTGGGTGGGTGGACAGGGAAAGCGCCCACAAATATCTTTCCATTAGATCTGCGTGTTTTTCGTTGTCCAAGTGCAGGTGCTTCAGCACGGCTGTATGAGATTTGAGGGTCTGAGCATGGCCGAGAATGTCGTACAGTTGAGGCCTGGAAGAGTTTAAATTCAGAAGCGCTTGAACAAAGTTTTGTTCGCCCTCCCGTTAGGGCAACTTACAAAATCTTTGCATTTTTCTTAGCTTCCAACGCCTTGGAAATGTCTTCGATGTTGCTAGTTCTGGCTGCTTCCAGCAGCTGCAGGAACACTTCAGCTGACTTTACGGTGCCCAAAAGTTCGGCCTTCAAGGCGTCCCTTGCTGCGGCCACTCTTTTGCTGAAATCGCCTTTCGGCTCTTTTGGCGCTGCTTCTGCTATGGCAACAATCGTCTCCTCTTCTAAAACAGCACCTTCTGCGCTGAGCAATTCTTGGACAGCTTGCGCAGCGCTCGAAGCCCTCACTGTATCACAGCGTTGAGATTCTTTGTAGATCAGCGTTTGCTCAGCTCCAACCAAGCCACCCAGATCACTTTTGGCTCGCATATGTAGCTGGTGCTGCTCTTTGGAGGATATACTGCTGATGACGTTTTTAGAGTCATCAAGAGTGTAGTGCGTAGACCTAGTGGAGGCGATATGGAAACCGAGGACTTCGTCCAGATGTCGGGAAGTGTTTATATCCAGAAAAGTGCACTGATGTTTGGATTTCGTTGCCTTTACAGAACTAGAAGTGTATGTGACGTTGCAATGCCCGGCCACATCAGTCTCTTCGAGGCCTCCTTGGTCCGTCTGAGTCTGAAACTTCAACAAAATTTCATTTTTCTGTTCTGGGTGGGAGGAGTAGAGTTCCTCATCACCTGGAATAGCGAGGCCAGCCCTCTCTTCATATTCTTCATCGAAACGGTTTCCCGTTTTCCCATGAACAGCCTGTCGATTTTACCCCCCTTTAGCACTAACACAAAGGGTTGATTTTCAAGGGAATCCAAACTTGATGACTCCACTCGTCCTGATTTTGAGGCCACTTGCACTCGCGGCTTTTCCAGCTGAAAACACCATTTTACTTGAAACAAGTGGGTTTTTCGGGTTTTTAGGCCGTCGTTCGGTAGAATTTCTTCATGACGTTTCGCAAGCACGAGTGTTCTGCGGAAGAACTGAACGCGGGTTCTGATGAGAACAGTGTAAGCGTTCAAGCAAACCACTTCTGAAGATGCAAGCCACTCGTGCTTGCGAAACGTCAGGAAGAAATTCCATTTTACGACGGCCTAAAAACCCATTAGTTTCAACGAATGGACTCGAAAGTCTTTCTCTACCAACATTTGTTAATCATCAGCCGCCGGACCATTTTCTCATGGTCAGAGGGCAATGAGTGAATGTCCGAAAACGCCCTATTTTCCAGCGGATTGTTAAAAACACCTGGTTTTTAACAAAACAACACTCTCAAGAAGAATCTCTACCGAACGACGGCCTAAAAACCCGAAAAACCCACTTGTTTCAAGGAATGGCCTCGAAAGTCTATCTCTTACCATTTTACTTGTAAATTGACAAATCGATTCGCCCTTGTAAAAGAAAATTACTCACGTGCAATTGCAAGACTCTCTCATCTTCGTTGCTCCAAACCGAGCTGACCAGCACTGTACCGGACAAACCAAACCCGACATATTTTCCTCTAGATGTCTTGATTTCATTCAAAAACACCTCCGAAGTCCATCGGTAGGCGACCTGATCACCAGGCGCAAACAGCTTGGAATTGATCTTCGGCCCTGCTTCTGAAGAAATCAGCACAAACCCCGAACAAAACGTGAAGCAAGCCGTATAAAATAGAGAGTAGAAATTCCATCCAGCGAACACCATGGTCATCGTGTGAGTTTCTCAACTTCTTCACTTTATGCAGCTTCGAAATGGTTAAATACAGTTCCGAGCCTGGTGCTTCTTACATTATAAATGAGCCATCAACGAGTCTTCTTATCGCGTCGAGGCTGAGGGTCAACTAGATAAGTGGCTTGTATGGCAAATATTGGTAAAGTCCGGTCTAAGCCATTAAAAGTTCCTGCAAGTGAAAAAACTGCAATTGTTGCTGGCACATTGCTAGTTATTTTATCACATGCTGCTTATCAGCAGAAATCCTAATAACGCAAACAGAAGCAGATTGATAAGAAAAAGGGCGGGACTTGTGGGAAAATTATTTATTATAAGTTTGCTGGAGACAAGTCTGGAGGGCCGGCAGTCTTGGTGAACAATTAATTTGGTGAAAATTGCAGGTTTTCTATAACAAGAGATTGTTTGATGCGTTTTTACACACCTGAATGTTCTCGTTTAGTGGCACGCGAAATACTGAAACAAGGTTTTGTCGTTCAGGCCTAATTCAATTAATGATTCTTCCGCTGAAGGTTATTTGTCGATGAAAAACATGCAAAAGGCAGTAAAACCATACAGGTACACCGCTAATCACTAATTCCTGGTCACGTTTATATGGAACATTTAAATGATCGTAATTCCCGCGAATGTTCAATAAATGCTTAAACACATAAAAATCCGGTGCTGGTTTTATGCGGTTGTTAAAATGTGCGACCAAAATCGCAAAGTTGGGATGGATGGATGGGGGACTTGAATACTAATTTAGTCAAACTCACCCAGATTAAGCAAACATTCGTCTTTTTGAGCTTTAAACTGAACGTCTGCAATTATCAACTAATCTATCTGGATATGAATATGACCGAATGAACAATTTTCGCGCTCTTGTCCATCCACTGCACTGTTCCACACATACGAAAATCTTCAAGTGGAACCAATAATGGTATCAAGTCGAAATCGCGTCTGCTTGGTACCGTTAATGAGCGAACAACAGTTCATTGCGACGTTCTTCTGGCCTGCATGGGATACCTAAACGAATGAGACGCGTTTCCTATACGTTTTTACAATTGGTTAATTGACTGGGTTGAATTCAATGAAGGATATACTGAGTGGTGCTCTATGAACTGTTCTAATAAACAATAGAGAAAAAAATTCAAAATAAATTTTGCGCATATACTTTGGATAACCGTGTGGACCTGAACGTGTGACACGTTTTTTGCGAATTTTTTCTACTTTGCGCAAAATACAAGTGAAACTTCAAATTTAGTTTTTTAAACTTCTGTTTGTATTTGTTTATTTAAAAATAATTTTCAACTTGGCTCAATTCATTTCGAAAGCACGCGCGAATGATTAAATTTGATATCTATTTTATACATTTCTGCGTGCTTTTGAAATAAATTGAGCAAAGTTGAAAATTATTCTTAAATAAATAAATACAAACATAATTTAACAAATTCAATTTGAAGTTTCACTTGTATTTAGCGCAAAGCAGCAAAAATTGGCAAAAAACGTGGAGCGCTTCACGATTTTGGTTGCACCCGGCGCGATGTTGCCAACTCTTCAACTCATATGGCCACCCAGTGGCATATTAATCGACAACAGGGCCCCCACACTAATGGCGTTTGCTGCCGGCAACTTCTTCGAGTTTCCAGGTTATGTGGCTTTGTTTTGAAACTTTGCAATTCAAATTGAGTTTTTCGCCAATATTTGCTTCCACCTAATAGAAAAATGGACGAGTTTCCCAATCCCGATGAAGAGTTCGAGCTCATGTACGGCGACGAGCTCGATCTGTTAAATGAGCAAGATTTTGAAGGTGATTTCACAAAATTGACATGGTTTGTTTACAACTAAATTAAAATGTTTAGGGCCTCCAGGCACGAAGCCCTTGGCGGCCCCTGCGGCTCGACGGAGCCTGAACTTCGAACTTCCTACTAGTTCCCAGGGAAACTTGAACCAGTCCGATCATGCAAGTGTGGAAGCGTCCAGCAGCAAAACTAGTCACCCTCCAGATTTGACCATCTCTACTCCACCACCAAGCGCTAGAAAACGGCTAGCTGATGACCTGTTTGGGGATATCAGCGATTTAGAGAATCTGCCAGCACCCAAACGACTCAAGGCTGAAACCAATGCCCAAGAGGACTTGGATCTAATTGAACTAATTCTCCAAAAAAGAAACGAGTACCAAAAGAGTCACTCAACAGCATTGACTGTAAGCACTGCGAGCACCAAGCTGCTGAAAAATAGTGAAAGGGATAAGAGGAATTTGTCTGGATCGCTTCCAAAGTTTCCGTTCATCAAAGTGAAAACTTTCGAAGGACAGAGTGTTTATGTTCGCTTTCATTCTGAGGACTTTGAAAAGAACGATACAGAGCGCATGTTAAAGACGTGCTCGGATACAGGAGTTATGGGGGATGGTTTTCAGGACATTTGGAGCGAAGCTGAAAAACTGGTAAGGGTTCAATTGAAAAATCAACCACGCTTAAGTCCCGATAAAAACGAATCGAAGGTTCATTCGCCAATCTGACTAGAACAACAATTTCCGCGAATTATAGTTCAGTGCTTTTTTGCAGCTGCTCAAAGAAAAATCCTTAGACCCGGCATCCTCCAACAACATGAACATGCCGAGTTCATCAGAGGAGCAGCTGTGGGTTGATATGTATAAGCCCAAAAAATACTTGGAGCTGTTGAGCGATGAAGGCACCAATCGCACCATGCTCAAATGGATGAAACTGTGGGATAAAATCGTCTTCAATCGGCACCCGAAAATCAAAGTGCGTCCGCAGATGGAGGATGGGAAAAAATTCTTCCGATTCAACGAGCTGAACACCAATCTAGACGAGCACGGGAGGCCGCATTTTAAAGTGGCTCTTTTGTGTGGGCCGCCGGGTTTAGGTACTTTTTTTCAATGTTCACTTGTTATCAGTTTTTTAATTATATTGTTTTAGGCAAAACGACATTAGCGCATATGGTAGCAAAACACGCCGGCTACCACGTGGTGGAAGTAAACGCCTCGGATGATCGAAGCACCGAAGCGTTTCGCACAACTTTGGAAAACGCCACTCAGATGCGTTCAGTGGTCGACCAACAAAAGCGGCCCAACTGCATCGTCTTCGATGAAATCGATGGGGCTCCCCCGGCCTCCATAGACCTGCTGGTCAAGTTTGTAACGGGAACGGCACCACTGAGAGCCAAGAAAGGCAAGTCCAAGGAAAAGACGCAGCAGATTTTGAAGAGACCGATAATTTGCATCTGCAACGACGTCTATGTTCCTGCCTTGCGACCATTGCGCCAAATATCATTTGTCGTTAATTTTCCTCAGACGTCCAGCGCAAGACTGGCCGAAAGGCTAATGGAAATTGCACGCAGGCAACATGTTAAAACAGACGTAGGCACTATGGTAGCATTAGCAGAAAAGTCCAACCACGATGTTCGCTCCTGCTTATCGGTGTTGCACTTTTACAAAGCGCAGAACAAGTCTATAGGACTGACGGACATCTACAAGAGCAGCGTCGGAGCAAAGGACATGCAGAAGGGTCTTTTTTCCGTTTGGTCTGAAATTTTCGAAATCAAGCGAACCAGGAAACCGTCCGGTGGCAGCCACGTGCAGAGTGCCAAGGAGCGGATGCAAAACATCCTCAAAATGATCAGTTTGTTCGGCGACCAGGAGCGGCTTGCACAGGGTGTTTACGAAAACTTTGGCCGGGCGCATCAGAAGGACCGATGCATCGAAGCAACGTCATGCGGCCTCGACTGGTTCTGCTTCAACGACATACTGACCAAGCAGATTTATAGCGATCAGAACTATTCGCTAACCGGCTATTTGAACTATGCCTTTGTGGTGTGGCATTTCGTCTTTGCCTCTACTCAGAAGGCCAAGCTCAGCTATCCATCCGCTGGGTATGAGGTAGGGAAACCTTTTCTTTCTATAGATATAATAATATAATTCATAATGATGAATACCTTCAAGTTTTCCTAATTGCTGTGTTTATTCAAAATGTTTCTTTTTGCTTTTTTTTCGTTCTGCTAGCTATCAGATCCATCAAGCTCGGTTAAGTTAAGAAGATTCCAGCATTGCATTCAGTGCTAATGAACCTCTGAATTATGGAGGCCGAACTCGGCACTCTTTAAGCCCCGGACATTAAAAAATATTTCATCCAATAGCAGCGAAGTAATTAGCGAAGCTACTTACATAGTTGACTCCGTTTATATCTGAGAAAATGCAGCTTACGACAAGCTATTTATTTTGTAAAAGGGGATGTTATTACCGGCTTACAATGCGAACAGATTACCTCGGGAGAAGGGCGCATTTAAAAACTTGTTGTAATGTTCGTTTTTGTTTTCGCGATGAAAACGTTTCGGTAACGGGAACGGAAGCCACTTACAGCACGGGTTCACTTTTCTTGTTTTATATGTAACATTTAATTGTTATTAGGTTTCCTTATTAGCAGCCCGCCTTGTTTTTTCAGGGTGTTTAACAGACAAGTGTACAAAAACCTTGAAAACATCAAACCGGTTTCTTCGAATTTCGGTGTTGACTTCTTAACGTAGGAAGAATTAATGTTCGATCCAAGATGTGGGTTGGCAAAATATTTGATCGTTWAAAACCCTTRKTTTTCTCCAAACTGCTYGTTGGGTATTTCGCCTCAAAAATGTTTGTCTTAAAAAAAGACAGAATTTCCCCACGTCTTTTATTACAGATTGATAAATAGTGCTCTTATTTCGCATAAGAACGACTTCGTTCTTATTGCGAAATAAGAGCACTATTTATCAATCTGTAATAAAAGACGTGGGTAAATTCTGTCTTTTTTTAAGACAAACATTTTTGAGGCGAAATACCCAACAAGCAGTTTGTAAACAAATGAATCCGCCTCAACAATATAGAACTTATCTAAAACCCTGGAGCCAACAGAAACGTAAAATTTTGGATTCGTTCTGAACTTGCCACAAGGAGTAGTTTGTCATTGCCGAAGTACGTTTTTACATGTTGGCACTGATACGTGTGAAAATCTCACCCTGTGTATAATTTAGCAATGGAAATACTTGAAGGAAAAAGTCGGGAAATTTTCCCATAAAATTTAAACGCGGCGCGCTCATTAACCATTCTGTCCGTTGAAACTGGAAATATAATCTCGATGGAAAAATTAGATCTAATTCTCTGTTTTGGGGCTACTGGATAATTAACGGCATCCTTTTTCTTGCTTTTGGAGTTCGTTTGTCGGTGGATTGGGGACCGTTGTTAAAAAATAGAAGCCGTTGTCAAGAAGTCACTTAAATAAGCATTGAAAAATTGGGGCCAAGTCAAGAGATTCTTCCAAGGGGGGCGTTAATTTAGGGAGCAACGCTTTAGTGAAAAATCGCATTTTTCTTGCAGTTTCGAGTCAAAGAAACCCGCCAAAAGGCCATCATAGCTGAAGTGTTGCGTGGCATGGCTCCTTCAGTGCGTTGCTACAACTCTTCACAACCGCTACTGTTGGACCTGCTTCCTCTGATGTATCGCATCATCACTCCGCCATTGCGCCCGGTCAGTCTACATCTCTACACTGAAAAAGAGCGCTGCACTTTGCTGAAAGTGGCCTCAATCATGGCTGACTACAATTTGACCTATCTTCAAGAGCGGAAAGCTGATGGGGCGTATGAGTTCAAGTTAGGTGAGTTTGCTGTCCCAACTGTTCTTCAATCGTTCACTCTGTTTGCTTGCAGAACCCGATATTGAAGACGTGGTGATCTTCAGGAAGGAAACGGGCCGAAAAAACCGCATCTCATACGCGAATAGGCAACTGATAGGTAGGGAGGTGGAGATGGAGAAAATGCGTAGATTGGAGGCACAAATTGCGAAAAATTCTTCCGAAATGCCAGCAAAGTCACGGCAGGAGAAGCAGCCCACGCCAAAAGCAGCTCCAAGCGACCGGCTGCCGAATCATTTGCGGAAGTTGGAGTTTAGCGTGGCTACGCGAACTTCCAGGTCGCATAAGGTAGTTTTTTTTGATTCATCAATGTTGGCGCTGTTGCAAAAAATTAGTACATTTGTGTACACTTCACAGTGATTTTTTTGATGAATGTAGAAGCGAATTTCGGTTAAAACCCCATTTGGCATGCCCATCATGCGCGCAATCCATCATAAAGAGCCGATTCTTTCATCGAGCCAGATTCCATTAGCCTTTGCCATTAGCTCTATTATTTTCCATAATTAAAATGATATGGATAGACCGGCAATTCTTCCAGTATTCTTTTCATATTGAAATGACCCTGTCATTATTATGGAATGATTTCGTTGGCCGTTGCCTCAATAGACCGTGGGCCAGCATCCGAAGTGATTTATCATCTTTGGGTGGGCTCCAGACGTTTATTTATGATCCTTTAGGAGTTGTTCACTTGAGAGGATTTCCCTTCTTTAGCGCCATTGTTTTTGCGGCATTTAATGCGCTTTTTTGAGAGGCTGTATGTTATAGATTTGGTAAAACGTGTACATAGACAAAGCCAAATCAAATTCATTCCGGGGTTTCAGTCATTTATTGTCGCTGTTTATCAATCAAAATACGTTTCGGTGTATTTTTCCACCATCATCAGTTTTTATGTGTAGCGTTGTTGCTG